CCAGCCTGGCAGCCACTGCTCCGGGCCTGGCCGCACCCGACCTGCCTGCTCCCCCGGGCCTGGCCGCTCCCAGCCTGGCAGCTGCTGCTCCGGGTCTGGCCGCACCCGACCCAGCTGCTCTGGGCTCGGCTGCCCCGGGCCCGGCCGCTCTGAACCTGGCCACTCCCAACCTGGATGCTCTGGGCTTGGCTACTGCTGTTCTGGGTCTGGCTGCTCCCACCCCGGCTGCTCTGGGCCCGGCTTCTCCGGGCCCGGCCACTCCGGGTCTGGGTGTTCCTGGACTGGCCACCCTGGGCTTGGCTGCCTCCGCCTCATGCCTGGCTGCCACTGCCTCAGGTCTGGCTACTCCAGTGCTGGCTGTTGATGCTCTGGTTCTGGCTGCTGTTGTTCTGGGGCCTTGCCGTTGCTGCTCCGGGCCTGGCTGCCACTGCCTTGTGCCTGGCCACCCTAGGCCTGGCTGCCGCTGTTCCAACATTCTGTCCTTTTTTTTTTCTTTTTTCTTTTTAAAACGCATTTATGTTGCAATGTTGGCTGGTGAGTTGAGTTCTGACTTAGTCTTTGATTTTTCAAGATCTTCTTTGTATTCTTTCTTAAGTAATTTTACTATTTTTTGCTCTCACTTGATTTCTTCACATTGAGAACTTCTTTGGTTTCTTCGTCCTTGTCCTGGGAGCTCAGCAGGTTGGCCTGTGGCACCCCTTTGTTCTCCGCGGGCTCCTGTGCTGCTTCAGCTTGTTGCCGGGACGGCGCCGCCCAGGAAGCAGCCCCCAGCCTTGGCTCCATTGCCCGAGCTCAGTGATCAAAGGCTCAGGGGCACCCATGCCCCCAGGGGCCCCGTGGCCCGCCTCCTTGCTGGTGCCCGGTTGGCTGGCGTCCGGCAGGGGCTCCTGCTCCCCGCCGCGTTCCCCCAGCCTGGAGCTTTTTTTCTCCTTCCCACTAGGGGAGTCCAGCATCAGAGTCAACAGAATGTCCTCTGTGCGCAGTGTGCGCAAGTCCGGGAGCCTGGCCTTTCGCCGCTCTCCCCGGACTCCACCTCACAGCCCCGTCTCCCTCTGCCTGAGTCTGGGTCCCCAGGGATTGGCCCAGAACTGGGGTTCGGAGCAGTCCGGACTGAGGCCCAGCGCCGCGGGAGGCCTTGTTTCTTCCGGCTAGGGTAACCCAGCATCAGAGTCAACATTCAGTCCTCTGCGCGCGCATTGCGCGCGACTCCAGGCGCCCTGCTTTTCGCCGTTTTTCTGCCTCACGGTCCTCCCACCGGAGCCTGGGTCCCCTCCCACCGGAGCCTGGGTCCCCAGGGTCTGTCCCATAACTGGGGCTCAGCGCTGCTGGTTCGGGGGGGGCTCAGCGCTGCCGGTTCGGGGGTTCAGCCCAGGCTGGGGGTTTTATTTCCTTCCTGCTAGGGAGGGAAAGGCAGCACCCCGCCCTCTCCTCCTTTCCTGCTGCGACCTCTCCTTGCGCGCGGGCGCGCAGTATGTCTCCGTACCTTAGGCTTTTTTTCAGCTCCTCTGATTTTCCTTCTGGTTTTCTCTTTCCTTCTTGTTGTAGAATTTTCAGTCAGTCGACTACCTGTAGCTCTGGGCAATGTCCACTCTACATTTTAGTTGTATTCCATTGAAATTGTTGTGTGCTGCCGTGGTTAGACGTCTACCCGAGCAGCCATCTCGGATCCTCCCTTTTTTCCCAATTTTAAATGATAGCCTTGTTGAGTAGAATAACATTGGTTGTAGGTCCATGCTTTTCATCACTGCAAATATTTCATGCCAATTGTTTCTGGCCTGAAAAGTTTCTTTTGAGAAGTCAGCTGACAGTCTTACAGAAGCTCCATGTAGATAACTGTCTTTCTCTTGTTGTTTTTAAAATTCTCTTTGCCCTTAACCTTTACCATTTTAATTGTGATGTGTCTCATTGTGGACCTTTTTGGGTTAATTTTGTTTGGTACTCTCTACACTTGCTGGATTTATGTGTTCAAGTTAGGGAAGTTTTCAGTCATTATTTCTCCAAATAGGTCTTCAAATAGGTTGCTACCTCTCTTCTTCTTCTGGTACCCCTTTGATGCAGATGTCATTATGTTTGATGTTGTCCCAGAGGTTCCTTATAGTATCCTCATTTTTTAAATGTGATTGATTGATTGATTTGAGAGAAATATTGATTGATTGATTGATTGATTGATTGATTCTTATGTGAACCCTGACCCATATGTTGATTCTTATAGAACCCACAACCTTGGCATATTAGGATGACTTTCAAACCAACTACCTGGACAGGATTAGCATGCTCATTTTTAAAAATTCTTTTTTTTTTTTCTTTTTGCTGCTCTGCTTGGGTGTTTTCTACTGCCTTGTCTTCCAAATTGCTGATTTAATCCTCTACTTTGTCTAAACTGCTATTGATTCCTTATGGTGTATTTTTCATCTCAGTTAATGTATTCTTCGCTTCTGACTGGTTATTTTTTTTTATGGTTTCTGAGTCAGGCCAATGATCAAATAGATGCTTCTGCATACCAATCCTGGGTAGTTAATTCTGGCTCAGTAGTCTACCCAATGCCAAACTCAAATCTGTCCACACCAATTGTTTTAAACTCCACCCAAACAAGCAGATTTGTAGCCACTTACAGCCTGCCTGCTTTATATTCCCCATGAAACTGTACCTAACATCTTCCAGGCAAGGATAACCTAGACCATAAAGCCCCCAAGCTCTGCTGTCCTTTGACACCCCATGTCCCTGAGATTCCCACTGTGCTGCTAAGTGCACCACCCAGACACACAGGCCCCCTTTCCCCAGCCCTGTTCCCTCTTCTCCTCTAAGCAGCAACCACCACCAAGTGACCAGATTCCTATTGTGAGCTCCCCCCATCCCCAAAGTAGCCTGTGAAAGCATCACCCAGCAAGCTTCAGTGTGCCACTGCCCCCTTATGCTCATACTTCATTCTTGGACAGCCCCAAGTGCCAGGAACCTCCTACATCTGGGCTTTTCCCCTTTTCCAGTCTTCCTGCAAACTCTGCTAGCCCAAGTCCCCTGTCTTCTCAAATTTTCTGACCCAAGTAGTACAATCATTTCTAGGACTTATCAGTTGCCAATTCATTTATTAACCAAATATTTACTGAGCACCCAGGCCATACCACACACGGGTACCTAAGATGCATCACAGAAAATAACATGGAAATCCCCCCCAGTGTGGACTGATGTCTGAGGATGACAACAGCTCACAGCTTCTCCAGCCCCAAAGAACACTGCGCCTGGGCCAGGAGGTGCTAAGGGGGTGGGGGGGAGGGTGTGTGTCTTGGTGTTGGCAGTGAGCTAGTAAAAGGTGCTGCCCTTTAGAGTTGAGCTTCTCACACTTTAACCCATGTAGAATCCCCTGGAGACTGGTTAGGATTAGATCCTGTCAGTGAGTCTGGTATAAGGTCTGGGGTGCTGCATTTTAACTCTCTGAATGCTGCTGCTGCTGCTGCTGCTGGTCTGAGGACCACACTTTGAACAACAAAGCTTTAAAGCTGATTGCTTTGAGAGTTAACTCTTCCAGCATCAATACTAGTAAAAATCATGTTAGTGCCTACCAGAGAAGGTGGTTGCAAAGGTTAAATGAGATCATGTAGTCCTTTGCATTCTCTATAGGTTATCTGCATTTGGCAATGAGGAGACTGAGGCTCCAAGACCTTATCTCATCCAGGGGCACACATGCAGACAGCAAGTGACTCCAGAGTCCAGGGCTCATGTGTGTAGCTGCTCCCTGTCTCACCTTGAACTAACCTCATCGCATAAACCTCTGAAGGGCAGGATGGGAGCAGAGTCACATGTTCACTGCTGCTGTGACCATTCAGCCTTGAAGGGTTTCTGTCTTAAACTTCCCCCTTTCATCAGGACTGAAGACATATTAACCCCCCACGCCCTTTTATCACACACAGCATTTCACTCGCATCATGTCAGTTCATCCTTGTATAGTCGCCTTCTCACACAAGGAAGAGAAACTGAGATGGCCAACCTCCTTGGCCTCATTGTCGTCACACACAGGATCTGAGACCTAGAAAATATCGTGACGACTTTCTCCAATCGGTTGCCTTTTAACCTGCTGAATGTAGTTTGTTCTTAGCAACAAGAACTCCTCCTCAATTATAGCTAGGCGGGAAGTCGAGTTTATGAACAGGTGAGGTGGGGCTCCTTCCCAGGCTCCTGGGAGAGGGACCTAAGGAGCCCTCTTTGGAACCGGATCTAAGCCACCACTCTCTTGGACCAAGCAAGCAGCCAGGCCAGCTGAGGCTTGAGTCCAGGACCTGGGCAGGTGTGGGATGCACTCCCCACTCGACTGACTATTAGCTGAGGAACATCTGATGAGCAGTAATTCTTAGGGTCTAGTTCACCCACCTCATGAGCCAAATGCAATGTTCCCCTTGGAGATCCTGTTTCCCAGCACTCTCTGCCCCGAGTCAGGGGTCATGCAAACAGCCAGCAAAGTCGATGCATTTTTAAGGTTTTATTGTAAAACAGAGCTTAAATGATGGGGAACAGGGAACTTCCCACTGGACACAGGCAGCACATAAGGGCCAGCACACACTCAGTCCTGCAGGCACCTGAGACTCACACTCAAGTCCCCGTCCCTGCACCCAGACACCAGGCATCTCCGACCAGCCTCCATGTGGAAGTGCTCTCGCCTCCGGAGGAAGGAGGATGGGGGCCAGCTGCACTGGGGGCACTGCCAGCCGCTGGGGGAGGCCTGAAGTGCAGATGGTCCTCGGGCCCGGGCAGTGGGATCCAGACTTACTGGAATGTTTCAGAAAGAAAAAATTAGGGACCCTGGTACATTAACTTCTCATTTTACCAGTTAGGGCCTTACAACAATAAGAAAGAAATGCAAAAAGGAGACTTGTTTTCATCAAAAATTTTTCACAAACACATGGATGTTTTACTCTCCCACCCCCTTCCAGGAAGGGCACAATACCCAAAGAAAGCCCTCCTAAAATTGGATACAGTGGGCTTTGAAAACACCGTGAAATCCTTATTTTTTATTTGGCCACAGACCCTAAAAGCACTGCTATCCCAAGGTTGGCAAACAAGGTTTGAGAGCCACTTGGTGGGAGGTGAGCGGATGGCTTCTGGGACCTGGGCGTGGACAGTGGGCAGACAGGAGCTGGGAGGGGGAGCAGAGGGTGTCCAGCTGGCAGGTGGCCCGGGTGCTGTCGGAGGCACAGGTGACACTGCAGGAAGGGCGTGGAATGGCACTGGTGTTCCAGTTGCTCTTTAGAGAGACCACTCGGGGTGGCATGAAGGTTGTGGCATCTGAGGGGCTGCAGTTGGAATTGGACATCAGGTTTCTCAGTTCCTTGGGGGGGGGGGGGGCCCTGCCATGGCTGCTCCCCGGGCCCCACCAGGCTGAAACCCTGGGCAGGGTGGAGGGGCATCTGGAGCCCGGATGTGCTGGCTGAGGGCAGGGTGACAGCACCACTAGTCCTGCTGGAAGTAGAACCTGGTGCCCCTAATGTCCTCCAGGGGCTCGTTGGTGAGGCTGACGGGCTGGTCGGCCTCCAGGGCCGTGCAAAGGAACCAGCCAGGGTAGGCGGCCGACTCGAAGGTGGTGATGGGGCCGCTGTCCGAGCGGATGAAGGTGTAGCGCTTGTTCTGCTCCGTGGTCTTGTTCAGGTCAGTGATGTTGACCTCCTGGAAGCCAAGAGGTGAGCAGGTGAGGGCTCCTTTCCTTTGCCACCTGCCCCTCCGCCCACCACAGGGGCCTCAGGCAGCCCAGGACCTGCCAGTGGGATGCTGACTGGCGAGCCTGCAGGAGATCACACAGCCCATGGACACATCTTGGCTTTGGGAAAATCTGACCGCTCCGGCCAGGGCTCAGAAAGTTTAATGAACACAAGGCCCCATCAGCGGGTGCCCAGGCCTGTAGAGGCTGAGTTCTGTTGGCTCTGTGCCTCCAAGGAGGGGGCATTACAGAAGGTGGCCCATCCGACATCGCCATCCCGACTCCACACGGCAGGCAGTCGCCCTGCCATGAGTGGAGCGATGGGACAGCGCCACAGTATGGCCACTGGGCTAAGGTTACATTTGGGTTAAACTGCATCCCAACGTTCTCCCAAGACAGAGCCGTCTGTTCTGAGGGCAGCCTGTGAACCCTGCATGGGACTAAGGAGTGCAGGGCCCGGATGGCATGCCAGCCCATGGGTCTGAGCAGCCAAGGACTGGGAGGGAGAGGTCTGCATGGGGCTTTACTGAAAGAGGCCTAGTCTTTGTGGGTTGGAGGCCCTTAGACAAGAGAGCAGCACCAGAGATTGAGGTCCCCAAATGAGCATCTTCCTGGGGCCCATCCTGTATAGCTCCCTCCCCCATTGAGGCAGACTCAGTCATGTGACCGGCTTTGGCCAAGGGGACATGAGCAGTGTGATGCAAGCAGACATTTAATAAGTGTGTGATTTGGGAATAATCCCTGTTAGAAGCTAGCACCTGCAAGACTGGCCTAGCCACTTCCCGTGAAATAGAATAGCCCGGCAGATCCCAGACAGCCCTCAGAAAGAGCACATGCCATCTCATACACGTCCTGGTTGGGGTGGCTGTTACCAGGCAGGTGCTTACCTCCAGCTGGAGCTGGATCTCATCGCCAACCTTGACGCAGGCCAGGCACAGCTTCTTGCCATGGATGCCCAGGAGCACAGCATGGGGCTCGACAGGCGCCACGTCTATCTTCTCTGAGGAAGAGGAGAGGGCAAGATCAGCTTGTAGATAAGAGGAAGCGCTGGTGGAGAGAGCCTGGATGCTTCCCGGGGCTCCTCTGTCCTCCTAACTAAACCCAAGGTCTTAAGGACTGTGGGGCCCATCTTTCTGATCTGCATCCAAGCAGAAGATCCAACCAAGAGCAGCCACCTAGCTGCTCCTTCGGACCAAGTTGCCTAGGTTCTGCTCCACCCGATGTCTATCTTCCCTCAATCCCCGGAGGGAGACCTGCGTGCCGGGTCGAGGTGTGCTGCTCATGGGCAGGGAAAAGCACGCACGAGGTCCTGAGAGGGACCCCAGGGCTTGGCATCCCTGAACCCACCTCTCCCCTCAGTGTCTGTGGGCCTCACTGCAGCGTGTTTATTAGGAGCAATTCCAGGACTGGAAAGGTGGGTCAATGGGGGTGGGGGAGGAGGAGCGTGGAGAGCAGGGGAGGCAGCGGGAGGAGATGGAGGGGATGCCAAGCATGTGGAAGCTTCCCAAAAGACCAGTGCTGACACTCTCCCACCACGTCATCCACCTGCCCTCATGGTACTAAAGGGAAACTGAGGCATAGACTAGGACGGCTGCCTGAGTCCATCTGACTTATTTGGGACCTGGCCCGAAACTTGCTGATTGTGTGCATGAGGAAGGGACCCAGCCCAGCTGTGTGTGCTGTGTTCACTGTGGAAGTGAGTGAGAGTAAACCACAGGGACATGGGGGCTGACTGGGTGCAGGAGGAAGGCAAGGCTCTACCTAGCCTTTTGCCCTCTCCATCCCACCCCTGGAGTTGTGGCCCTGTGAGCATAGTGCCTGCAGGTAGAGGCTCCCCAGCTATATCTCCCCCTCCCTGCCCTCAACTGTGCCCTTCAGGGGCCCACCTCCCCAGTGGATAAGGAGCCACAGTGCCCCTGACCCAGCGCACACACACTGGCGTTCCAGGCAGCCACTCACCTTCTAGTTTCGTATTTGATCCTTGCAAGTATCCAGCAACTAGTTGGTTGTTCCTCATGTAGAAGGTCTTCTGGTTAACATCCCAGATTCTGAAAAGCGAAAGGGCCCTCTGTACTGGACAAGATTGTGCCCGGCCCTGGGCTCAGCCCCTTCTGGTTTCCCCAGAGCTCCCTAAGTCTGCACTCAACCTTCTGCCGGGGAGCGGTGTTTCCCACACCCACAGCATGAGGAGGCAGCTGTGGTGGCCCCCGCCAGTAGACAAGCCCACTCCTCGCCCTGCTCCCCTCCACAGGTGCCTGGACCTCAGCCCTGGTGTGGCCCCTGCCAGTAGGACTGCCAGGGGCACAGAGTCTGTCCACTGCCCCACGCAGGCCACTGGCCACCATGGCTATGGAGCTCCTGGAAGGTGGTGCGTCTGAGGATCTGCATTTTAAAATTTTATTTTACTTTTATTAATTTAAGTTTTTTAGCTATTAATTTAAATGTACACTTAGAGTCATCTGAGACCAGCATTTCAAGGCACAGAGGACCTGGTAGTGACCTGGGTGTCTGTCCCAGAGTCTGTCCTCCACACCAGGGCCTGTGCTGGGTATGACAGGGGCAGCATCCCTGGAAGCAGTCAGCTTCCCATCCAGCTCACCCAGGAGCCTGTTTCTGGCTCCTCGTTCGTTCTTCTTAGCGAAGAGCCCATCCACTGGAGCCTGTCTACTCTTTGCTGCCCACCAGCCCAACCGTGGCCTGTGCCTCGCCTCCTGTCCTATGAATGGTGGCTGACAGCCCCGCCTCCCCAGGGAGCTTTGAGGAGCTCACAAGCTGGGTGGCTGGTCAGGCAAACTAAAGTTCTCTGCATGTGGACACAATTGACCTTTTGTAATGATTCTAGTTTCGGAGGAGTGTCCATCTGAAGGGTCGAACAGCCCGGACTGGAGTCTCCAGGGGCATCTCCTGGAGCTCCCTGCCCACAGGAGGAGGCAGAGCAAACTTCCCACCTCTGGATACACACGCACACAGTCTGTCCTGCAGCCCCAGCCAGAGACACCCAGCGCTGGGGGTGAAGTCACCCAGAGCAGCTCAGTCCTGGGAAGCAGGGTAGAGGGCGTTTGCAGATACGTCTCAGCCTGTCATCTTCACGGCAGTGATGGTCAGTGACGTCTCACAAAGTTCCTGACCCAGTCGCTAAAAATCACAACCCTATGGGGATACTTTATAGTTCACAGAGCACAGTCACACTGTGACCTTCACAGGTGGGCAGGGAGTCATTGGAAACCCCCTGTCACAGGTGAGGAAACTAAGGCTCCAGGGGGCAGGATCTTCCACTGTGAACACAGACAGACACTGCTAACCACCATCTAGAACCCGGAGCTACCCTGCCCTTGGCGCCCTCTCTGCTTCTCTACCCAGCACACTCAGCCCAAACCCCAGCCAGGCTCTTGGGCACATGTCTGTCACCTGCTGAGTTGCCAGGGTCTCTGGGAAAGTCAGGCAGGCCTCAAAGCCAGCCAAGCTTGCACATCTGGGACATTTTGAAACACAAGCCCTGCAGGCTCCACACGTGCTCGCCCCTTTTTGCAATAATGGACATCCCTTTCCTGCCTGACAGAGATGTTCCCCACCTCCTCCGTGGGCCTTACCTGAAGGCTTGCATCATGCTGGTCCTCCTTACTGAAGGGCGGCAGGCTGTCTCTGAAGGGAACAGGAAGAGGAGGAGAGAGATTAGGTGACTGAGGGGGCACCGGCAGATTTCCATGTTGGGGCACCTCGTGCAACAAGGACTGCCATTCTGGGCCAGAGGAGCTGCTTATAAAGAAGGTAGCCACTCACCAAACCAGCAGAAACGGAAATGCCTTCACAATTCCAAAAAAGAGAAACGCTTGCTGTTGTCACAGTCAGGCCTTCCGTGTGTCGCAAGGCAGTGTTGTAACCAACCCTCCCCTTTTCCCTGGTGTAATTTCCCCAAAATGGAGATCTCCATTTCCCTTCACTGAGTTCCTGGGAAGAAAAGCACAACCATAACCAAACACTGTCATCTGCCTGACAGGTGTCCAGGGACTGTTGGCCAATCTAAAACAAAGGTGAAGAACCTGAGGCATGGATACACGGGACAGACAGACGGACAGATGTCAGAGGGGAGAGGAGAGACTGGATGGAGGAAGGTGATGGGGATTAGCCAAAGAGCGTATATGCATAGCCCAAGGACACACACAACAGTGTGGTGATGGCCAGAGGGAAGGAGGGTGTGGAGGCTGGGAGGAAGTGGGCAAAGGGGTGGGATGGGGAGGGAAAGAGACTTTGCCTGGGGGGATGTGTGCATGATGCAGTGTGCAGAGGAGGTTTTGTTGAGTTGTACACTTGAAACCTGTATGGTTTTATAAACCAATGTCCCCCCAATCAATTCAATTTTTAAAAAACTACAAATTCTAGTAAAAATGTTCCCTTTCCTAATGCTGAGTGTCAGGGCCGAGCACAGGGACCGTCTCCTGTCACGTGGTGTTCACAGAAGGAGGGACAACCTAGCTGGACTCTGGACCAGGGCTGTGAAAGGACCAAATAGTAAACATTTTGGGATTTGTGGGCCACACAGTCTTGTGATTTCTCAACTCAGAGTTGTAGTTCAAAGGCAGTAAACAGTCCGTCACTGAACAAGCTGGGTGAGTTCCGTGTGACCTGATTTACAGAAACATGTGGCGGCTTTGCTGAAGGTTTGCTACTCCTGCTCCAGAGCCAGCTGCCTGGGAGGGGCTTTGACACCAGCTCTGCTCCTGCCTTCACATATCTGAGGTTATGGTCCTGGGACCTTGGTGAACTCAGCTCCGGGTCAGAAGTGGGTCCAAATCCCCCCCCTGCCCCTCTCCCATAGCCACTTGTGTGCCCTTGAACAAATCATTTCTCTGATTTCAGTTCTGTCTCCTCACATGCAGAATGAGGTCCATCATGTCTTATGCATAGTATGAGGAGGGAGGAAGGGAAGGGAAGGGAAGGGAAGGAAAGAAAAGGGAAGGGAAGGGAAGGGAAGGGAAGGAGAGGGGAGGAAAGAGAAGGGAAGGGGAGGGGAGGGGAAGGAACGGAGAGGAGGGGAGGGGAGAGGAGGGGAGAGTTCCAGTCCAGAGTGGCAGTAATAAACATAAATTTCCTTCCTTACTGCATCATAGAGACTTAGGGGAAAGGTAGGCACACTGGTATTTGTAGAAAGAACAAAGGCAGGAAGGGTTCTCTGTGGCCTGAATGATGGGAGCAGATGTCAGTGCAGAAACAGGTTTCAGCGTCTCAGGATTGGGGAGAGCTCAGCAGTCCCCCAACCTCCCAGTCAGTTTGGAAGAGGACCCGGAAGGTCCAGGAAGGAAGGGACACAGCTCATTAATGGCACAGATAGGACTGCCAGCTGGGGCCAGCCTCCTGAAGCCGTCCATGTGATGAGTCTGACTTTATTTTTAATCAACGAATCAGAGTCTATGTCCAAATGAGGGTAAACCCTTCCTAGGGGAGGTCACTCTGAAAGTTGCTAGGACAGTATATCTTAAAAGTTCTTATCACAAGAAAAAAAATTATATAACCATGTATGGTGACAGGCAAATCATTGTGTCCTACACCCGAAATCAATATGTCAATCACACATCAATTAAAAAAAAATAAAGAAGAAGGCTACAAAATCTTTATAAAGCTCCTCATGAGAACAAATGGAATATTTCTGCAAAAACCGTATCACCTTCCTGAGCATTTGCTTGGGATGGCAGGTGGCTCCTATGTGCCCTGCTCTGTTGCCACAGCCTTTGAGTTGGTGGGAGTCGTTGACTCTCTGCAGCATGTTTGAGAAATTGTATCTGCCTTTGAGGGCCAGGGGGCGATTTGTTCTTGTTAGTTTTAGGGAGGACTGCTTGAAGGAGGTGATGGGTATGAACCCACAGTCAAAGGCCTGCCCACAGTTTGGCTCCCGAGTATGTTCCTTGGCCCCCAACCCAAGCTCAGAGACAGATATCTCCTGGAGAGCTGAAGCCTGGGTTCCCAACTTTCCCACGCATGTGCCCTTTGCCCACTGCCCCTGAGAAGTGGCCCACAGGCCTTCCTGGGTCTGGGTAGGAATTCTTGGGCCTGGCCTGAAGTCAGGCAACCTGGGCTTCGTCCTCCTTCATCATTCCTGAGCTGGGCCACTGGGACATGTACGTGCCCAAGCTCTCCTGGTCCATGCCCGTCAGCTGGGCTACTAACAGACACCTTACAATGGGTTGCTATGAGGACTGAGGTGCTGCACATGATGTAGGTCACAGAGGAAACACTCAAACAATGGATTATTATTGAGAATGCTTTTCATCCCAGGTAAAGTGGTGAGGGCAATCACAATGCCCTGACTGTCTACACTGCCCAGGACTCCAGCCCTCACTCCCTGGTATAGGAGGAAGCAGAGGGAGGGGCAGCTCCCCCCTCTACTCACGCTTCTGGCCACAGTTCTACTCTTGGTTCCGTGTAAAGACAGTTGATGTCCTTACGATTTCTGCCCACAGGAAACCTCTGACTAAACTCATTCTCAGTTCTAGTGCTCAGTCCCTCACACTGCTTCCTGAATTAAGTCCAATGACATCACACCATGGGCTTGGCCCTCCCAATCAGTCGCCTCTTGTCCCTCCCTCTGAGCTACAGGCATCACAGGTATGTCAAGTGCCTTCCATGCTGAGCCCTCCCTGACAGGACACTTGTGACAGCAGGAACGATCAAGTCCCACTTACAGAGAGACAGAAACACCAGGTTGGCCACGTCCCAGGAGGGGCAGTAGGCAGGTCTCCAGGGGGAGCCCTGCTTGTTGACGCCCATACAGCATTCAACAGGCCGACATTCACACGAACGCCATCTGTCTCTCTGAGTTTCAGTTCATTGTGTCTTTCCGTTCTGCAGTTTACAGTTGGTTTCTTTCTTGTAGTTTCTAGTTTTCTGCCAAAAGTTTCCATCTTGTCTTTGACATTTTCAACATTTTTTTGTGGTTCATGTAAAGACTGCTCCTGATAACTCCCTCGTTGGAGCTCTGCTGGGCCTCCTCCTATTGTCTGTTTTGTTCCTTCACAGGTTGCCTTGTCTGTGCCTGACAACAGGTTGCTAACTGCTGAACACCTTATAGCAAACACTGTTGGGATCACATGAGGCCCTGGACAAAGTTGTCAGTATCCAGAGACGATTCACTTTGGCTTCCACTGGGCAGTGAGGCCAGGGCGCTGCAGCCCAGGTGCCCTTCCCCCAGGCAGGGCTGGAGATAACACAGTCACTGTGTGGACTGCTCCACTTCTGTCCACTCCTCATCCTCCAGAGTCCCAGCCCAAATCTGTGGCGTTTATCTAGGCCCCTCCTCCTCAGTGGGAGATAAAGGCAAATGTTATTTTTCTCATCCCCAAGCCCCACGAGTCTGTTCAAACACCAGCCACAGCTTTTGAAACCAGCAAATGCATTCAGCGCAGCAAATGGGGTAAAGGCCCTGATGCCGAGCTCCAACTCCCTGGGCCTTTGCAGTTTCTCAAAGCCTTGGCCAGACATTTCTGGTCAAGATGGTTGTGTAGGTAGATGCAGTCCTCCAATCCTTCCACAACCACATCAAAATTACCACTGAATTACAGAACAACCATCATTCAGAACTGCCTGAAATCTAGCTGAATAGATGTCATACAACTAGGGATTTAAAGAAACCACAGACTGGCAGGGATGAATCATTGGTCGAATGTCAAACTATGAACCAGGAGGTCACAGTTCAATTCCTGATTAGGGCATATGCTTGAGTTGTGTGCTTGATACCCAGTGTGGGGCATGCAGAAGGCAAGCTGATCAATGATTCTCTCTCATCATTGACTCTCTCTCACTCTCTCTCTGTCTCTCTCTCTCTCTCTCTCTCTCCTCTCTGAAATCAATAAAAATGTATGTTTAAAAATAAAGGAGAAAAATAAAATAAAATAAAATAAGAAGTGAAGTCTTGGCTGCGAAGGTCCCTCCTAAGAAGTGAGGGGTCTCAACCTCACACCATGTCTACCAATCCAGGGTTCCAGAGCCAGGAAGAGAAGTCCCCATAACTTCTGGGTGTAAAAACCAGTGGGGATTGTGGCTGAGATGGAGGCTACTGAAGTCCCAGGCAGTTCCTCTCAAAGGGGCCATATATGGATTTACTAGGACACACTCCCTCTGAGTTCCAGCACTAGGGCAGTAATTTGAATGAAACCAGGGACATATAGGAGAAACTCAATTGTCTGGCTTCAGGGTGAAAGTTGGGGGGGGGGGCAGGAGGTGGGGTTATCTAAATCAACAGTTGCCAACCGTTGGTTCAGGAACCAATGATAGTTCGTGAAGTCCAAAATGTTAGCAACCACTGATCTATGAGAGAGCTACCATAAAACTATCAGCAGAAATTTTGCAGACCAGAAGGGATTGGCAAAAAATTATTCAAAATGATGAACAGCATGGATCTACAACCAAGCTTACTCCACACAGCAAAGTTATCATTTAGAATCTAAGGAACAGATAAAGAGCTTCCCAGACAGGAAATAGCTAAAGTAGTTAGTTCATCACCATCAAAACAATATTACATGAAATATTAAAGGGTCTTCTTTAAGAAGAAGAAGAAAAAAGATTAAAAAAAAGATGAGCAATAAAATGGCAATAAATGTATATATATATCAATAACTAAATCTGAAAAAAAAATTAATGAACAAGCAGAA